CTAGGAACAAGGGCATCGCTCCTAGGAACAAGGGCATTGCTACTAGGAACAAGGGCATCGCTCCTAGGAACAAGGGCATCGCTACTAGGAACAAGGGCATCGCTACTCGCTACTAGTAGCTAAAGGTACTAGCCTTTTTGTTGGCTGGTGGCTGGAGCACATGGCTCTCCTAGAGGACAAGAAAACTTGGCAGACCCAGTGAAGTCAGCTGAACCGTCCGTCGCTTGGAAGATCATAGTAAGTCGACTTGTGAGAATGGTGGACCTCAAAACGTTACCACAATACCACAAGCACCGGTATGTTACTCGCTATGTTCATTCATTGGTTGAGGTCAACCAGCACCAGCAAGGCATTCCAAGCTTCTTCAAAACCTCTTCCCTCATGGGACATTGCGAAAAGCAAGCACAAGCTATGCATGGGCGTCGAAGTGTGCTGCGGCTTACGGAGAAGACCTAGACAAGGTCCACAGAAAGCCCATGTACAACTCCTCAAATTTACAGCACCCATCCAACGAGAGATGATTGGGCAAGTTTCTTGAGGATCGCCGTATGCAGGTCGAGGACTGCCTTTTGAGTGTCACGCTGAGGGCCTGGAACTCAAGACTTGTTCTGAAAAAGTTCACCAAAAACAGAGAAGCAAAAGGAACAAAAGGCTACTGAAGAAAAGGCACGAAAGTCTATCAAACTAGCACCAGCAGTGGTTCGGCCTTGTGTCGCTGAATCATTGGACGCGGATCCGTCCAGCAGCAACAGAAGGAAGGCCAAAGCAGCAATGATGCCAAGAAGTAACCCGGGGTTCGTGAACCTAGGCCGGCGTTGAGAGTAACCAAAGTTTGATACTAACACCCTGTAGCACGCTTGGCTTTGTATTGCGGTGGGGAATTCCAACTTCGTGGAGCCTAAGTTGAGTAAAATTGACTCTGCCGGTTGCCACGGCCCACGGCAATCCTCCTGAGCATCGTGCCAAGGAATTGCAGGGCGGGCCATCTGGCCATTTTTTGCCACATCCGCGGCTGTGGGGGCGTTACATGATCCGGGTCTTCAAACCAAACTAAAGCATCCTTGCTACACAAGCGCTGAGTTTATGGCAAATGAGCGCCTGCAAAGACATCCTTGCATTGGTGCCCTTTATATAGATGAGGCAGCTTTGTCAATCTACTATGACCCTGTCAATCTACAATATTTCGCATAACTAGGTTTTAGCTCTTTGATTAGAGGCCTCTACGTGGGCTGCTCATCTTCCCAACATGCAGGGCTTGAGCACTGCCGCTGCTCACAACTTTGGAGAGGACTGCCACAATTCTTGAGGATTGGCACCGTCTTCTTCTCTTGTACGAGACCGCTAGCACCATCAATTACCATCTCATAACTCATGATATTACGCATAGTACTCAGAATCACTGGAAGGAGTCACATCACCTTCTGTTCGACTCTGTCTCTGTCTCGGTCGCCATGGCTATTGCTGCCCCCATGGCCTGACATACAGCGCAACATAAAAATGCGCTGGGCCCCACGAATAGGACCCTCCTAAACAAAGAAAATTAGTAAGTTTACCTTCTTGATTTTTATCATCCTTGCAGCACAAAAATGCTTTAAGAGTATGTTTGGTCGGTCTACACGCCTTGACAGAGGACGTGCGCACTCCTTGATCTGGACAAAGATAACTACGAACCAGGAGCTTGGCCAACGAAGCGAAGGCAAGAATCAGGTTTTCAATGTGCTCCCAGTGGCTCTGCATGAGGCAACCAATGCAAACAAAATGGACCTTGCCAGAAGTGCAAAACCGGTCGTTTTGCTTCCCCAGCGCGCTTCAGGCGATGGCTGCAAATCCAAGTTGACATGTCCGTGACGATGGTCCCCCAACCGCCAGGTGTTGAGTCTCGTGATTCGCCGTGAAGTGCCGTCGAGCCCTTACGACCAGTTTCGCTTCTACGTGCTACTTTTAGGCCTGTCAGGCGAAGTTGGCCATGTCGTTCGACAACGGTCAAGAGATCACGGTAGGACCTGTCCAGTTACAATCTCTTCCACTTCTTACACGAAATCCATTCAGACTCCAGACAATTGCAAACTGCAAACCTTATGTAAATTGTAAATGCTGAAGCTTCATGAAAGGGCACCCAAACCCAGAGCACCTTTGCACATCGCTGCCGTTGTGCCAGTCGGAAGGTTACAAGCAAGGAGGCCCTGAGCACAGCTTGCATGGAGATGACCTTGCTCTGCAGGCTGCGTGGTTGCATGTTTCAACATCATATTGAGTCAAACCATTTCATCACTTCGCTGTTTTGTCAGCCACTGAGGTCTCCGCCAGCATCTCCTGCAGTCTTGGTGTTGTCGTGGCGAAATTATGCTCACACTGAGATGTTCATAGATTTTCTAGACCTGAGGACCTTGCCGCTGTCGCAGAACGGCAGTTGTTACGAGAGCCTCTGCCACTTCTCTTGCAGGATGTCTACATGTAGCATCTTCAAGAGTCTTCCTGCCCCACGTCCCTTGCTTGTGCTGTGACTAGCTTGCTGTGACTGGGTAGGTATGATCTGGCTCTTTGGAAGTTTGCTGCGGCCTCCAACTGCAAGCGCACCATCCTGGAAGGCTACAGGGAAGCAACCAACATCTACTCCGCGAGCGGGAAAACGCCATAGATATGGCATGCTGCATGCCCAAGCTAAGACAAAGGCATAACTTTCCGTGGTTTTGATGTGCTTTCCTGCTCAACGTCCAGTCCTCTGAAAGAGCTTGTGACTCGCTTGCATGTTTGCCTTGCCGGCTCATAAAGACATGCACATCTTGATTCATCGTGATCGCCAAGGCACTTCAGCTGCATCTTCAGGCTAAGTGCTTTTTCTAAGGCGAAAGCTGGGGCTGGTAGCCTTTGATGCCACGCACTTTCCAAAACAAATGGCTTTTGACCGCCAAGACCCTTGACACTAGGACAGGGTGCCAGCGTGTGCAAGCAAGGCACATCCAAAGGAGCAACAACAGCCACCAGGTCTGCCAAGCCTGCAACAAGCACTCGGTCAAAACGGTAGGTGGAAAGGCGATTCAATTCATCTCTTGACTGTGGGGATGTGTCATGAATCATTGGCATTGCAAGTTCTTCTCCCCATGCCTCCTAGTTTAACTGTTGTTAGACTGTTGGTAATCTATGCACTTATCTTCAACCTCAAAGCCGACAGGCTTGGGGCCCGGCAAACAAGCGCAAAAAGCACTGCTGGACAAACAACCTGCCATGAATAATGGCAAAGGCGACCCTCCCAAAGAATCATTGCTCTGGGTTTCACTGATCGTGCAGGCTTGTCGAAAAGATCGAATATGAATGGGGAAAGCTTACAAAACGATGTCCCTTTTCCATATCCAAGGTGCGAGCATCCGAGCAGTGAGCAGGGAGATTGCATGGGTGCAGTGAAATGATTGAACTGCCTGATGAATTCCAAGCACATGGGCGTTTTCACTTGTCTTTGTCAAAAGAGGACAAGCACCACATGGTGTTACACAATAATCTCTGGCAAATGGCGATGGCAGTTCCAGCCGAACTCGGGAAGCAGATCTTCAGCTTCCTTCCCTAGCTAAGGCCACCCAAAGAGATGGTGGCGAAGTCCACAAGCCGTTCGAACGGCTCGCAGAGCAAAGCAATTTGGAAAGGCCACCTTTTCTCGAAATGCTGCATTTGATGCCAGTGCTGCCTTTAGAAGAAAAGCGAAGGCCTTTCAGGTGTGCATTTTTGAGCTCGCCAGCCAGAAGGCTGATGTCCTATCTACTGGGGCTGTGAGACATCTAGATGCACGTGCTGATGTGAGTCTATCCTTGGATTCCCCTTGGAAAAAAATGTTGTATGCCTTTCCTCGCCTTATCTCACAGCTGGAATCCTAATATCACGTTGTCGCCTCATTTGCCAGCAAAGCGCACTTTGCGAGTTGAGGGGGGAAACTTGGCACCTGACCTTTGGCCTCCCTTGATGTTTAGATTCCATGGCCAGCAATGAGGCCCGATTCAAGCAAATGTGGACAGCCACTCTCACGCGGCACTCTTTTGCAAACACCAAACGCAAATGAGCTGGCAAAGCCATTTCACTCGGCCAGCCCTTTATATGGTGCCTGGGGACTTGAGGGACACGTGGTTCACATGTGAGATCAAATACAATTCGAGCACTGCGTGCCTACAACCACTAGCTTTTCCTCTCTGAAATACTTGTGCAATCCCAAGCAGGTCCAGCATCTGTTTCTGTCAACTCACTCGTGCCCAATCTCCTCCTCGATTTCCTGCCAGATGGCCAAGTCGCAACATGGCAACACACACACACACGCATAATATATATATATATAAGATCTGCTGGGCATCCCGCCTCAATGCGACGCCTGAGCTTCGCAGTGCTCAATCAACAACGTAAGACTGGGAGGACAACGTGGCCTACAGTAAAAAAAAACATCACGACAAATGTCATGTCATGCAAAAAGTGCCAGGTTGCTGCAGGGCAATGACTTGCTGATGGATCGAGGTCTTTTCACCCTTCAGTTGTGTTACCTGTGACACCGTGCAGAACAAACAAGTGCCAATAAAAGTTGTAGAAAAACCTGCACAAATGGGTTCGGGCACGTGCATGGGGAATGTGCGTTTATTGAAGTACAACGCACATAAAATGCTTTATTTACATTGCAGAAATGCGTGTGCCAGCAGAAAACCAACAAAAACCGTGCAAATTGTGTATGGGATTGTATGGGTGCAAGATGGCTTATGAATGCTTATGTAATGTAATGTGTGCTCACAGCACCGACACAAGCAGCTTGCAGTGCAAAAGACTCAGGGACTCAGGCACACCTGTTGTTGAAGCCGAACGTTCTCGGATTCTTGTAGTTGGGCGCTGACCTGGAACCTGAATCAAACAAAAGGCTTCAATCGAAACAGAGTTGCAAAGAAAGGGTGTTGGCATTGCTGGTCCAATCTCAAGGACTCAACAATAAATTTCAGCCCGAGGATCTCTTCCATCATTCTTTGGACATCTGCCGAAAAGTACCGCTTGATGTCCTCAGTCCATCAGAGTGCGACAAGTTGCCAACAGTTGTGAATGAGACACACGAACATTCAAGATTGAACATGCGATAGGCCCACATAAAAATCCCAAACTGTTTTGGGGTGTTGGGCACGAATCCACTTTAAAAGCAACGGCGACGTCGACAAGTGTTGCGACTTCGCCAAACACTGTTGTTTTACAAACATGTGCACCCTTCCAATGCGTCACCGCGTCACCGCCCGCATTACAACACGGCACGGTGCCACGCGCTGGCACGTGTGCCCACATGTATGCAAACATGACAAAGCCGTAACAAGCAAGAACCTCGGAACCTGCTCCGAAACCCGCTCTGGAGCCTGCAACCGCGCCACCACGACAACATGACACGACGACAGCACCTCAGCGTGACAATGTGTCAGCATGTTAACGCCACCCGTGTCAGCCTGACGCCATGACAACATGTCAGCCTGTCAGCATGTCGGCGTGACACTATGCCAGCATATCAGCGTGACACATCGTGACAGCATGTTAGCGTGTCTACGCGTCCACATGACAGCATTACTGAATATTATTGACACCAGCATGACACCATGTCAGCTTGACGACGTTAGCGTGTCAGCTAACACAGTACGTCAGAAGGGGGGCATGCTTGCAGGGTAGCATGAGAGAGGGACAACATGTTACAATGCATGGTTGCCCTTCAGCATGACAAAGTGTCAGCATGACAGCATGCCAGCAGGGTGACATGTCGGCATTACGCCATGACAATGTCTCCTCCAGAACCTGCCCCGGAATCTGGTCCGGGAGCTGCTCCGATCTTCTGGGATGGCTGAAGACCCTAAGATTCCCTGTTGGGGAAAATCTTTGAAAATCTAGAGCCACTGCAGGCAAAGCTGGATGTTCGGCATCAATCGACCCCTTCCAGCACGAGGAGCATTTAGCTGTCCCTGCATGCCCGTGGACTGGTTCGCATTGTCTGCCTTGATGCTGTGCATATGGCCTGCGCAAGCCAAATCGCAACGGGTCATATTCAGAATCCACAGAAACGATGAAGCTCCTTGCCTTTCTCAATGCTCAGCTCCTCATTCTGTGACTGCAGCGTGGTTGCCAAGTCATGGACCTGCACACTGCACGGTATAGTTTAAGATGATAAGATACTGTTTTTTGAAGTCGGGTTCGTCGTTTCATCCAGTGCTTTTTCGGTCCTTTCTTTCAACTTTGAGCCAGGCCTTGCCCTTCATACCTGTGGGCTTTCGACTGGCTGCGCTCATCATTGAGTCTGCCCTTGGTGATCAGGAAGGACGCAAACAAGATCAAACAAGTATAAGTAGAATGAGGAGACTCGCGGGAAGGACGTGTGTACTGTCACCACCTTTCACTCCAAAACAGCCTTCAAAGTTGCACTCCATGAAAACAAATCACAATACTGCGACCAAAGATCATTGTGGAAACTCAATTTGGATGGAGCACGCGTTGATGGCCAATTCGCTTGAACCGGGAGGCTTGCGACTTGTGGGTGTGAGCTTTGCAAATGCCGGACATGCACATCAAAACCCACCTGGAGCAAAGGGCATCGCTACTAGGAGCAAGGACGCTACTAGGGGCTCCTGGCCTTACTACTAGGAGCAAGAAGCTACTAGGAACAAAGGGCATCGCTACTATGGTCACGCTGAAACTCCAAACACCTCTGCTTAACCACTCTGCCCGCATTGAGCAGCGCCTCACCCCAGGCTCCCCACAGCACCATCGACCTCATTCACGAAGTGGACAAACAGCGTAAGGCAGGGGAGGGTGAGGGGCGGGGTCCTGTGTGGGGACAAATCTTATCACAGCAGTGGTGCAAGTTTACACGTGGGTGCATGAAGTGGAATGTGTTCCGGACTGGCACCAGCGGCGACACTGCACACACCCACCACTGGTGAAAGGGTAGGTTGTCTCATTAAGTTTTTTAAACCGCCCAAAGGGCTGACGGTGGACTCCCCAACTCGAAATGGGGAATGAATTATTTGACCCAATCAAATCGCACGGATCACACTTCACAATGTCAAAATATTTGGACTCAAGGCCCTTGAGAAGCGGCCCTTCGTGATGTTTAGCAGAGCGCAAGAATCTGAAAATATTGCAAGAGCTGAGACACCAAACAAAGTCAGTCTGCGGCCTCCAGTGATTCGGCCAACAAGCACCTACAAAATCTGAAATGATACTGATCCAAAAGCAGGCACACACTCACCAAGTCGTCGCGTGCGGTAAGGTGAAGTAACCGTAATTACAGAGAGCTCCTTTTTGCCTCCACCGCAGGCTCTTGAACGTGCCCTGGGCAACATGCGATGCTGGGACTCATACCCTTTGGGTTTGGAGTATCCGACGTGCAGCCAGCCAATGCAACCACCGCTTCTTCAGACGCCATCACCCGATTCCATGGGCTGGCTGCATGCTGTATGACTTTGCAAGCTTCACCCCGCATACTGAAGAGCCGAGAGGAAAATGGATACTACAGAGTCTAAGAATAGAATGGCCCGCAAACGAGCCAGCGCCAAAGCTGGAGTGGAAACATGTATTAGATGACTTGAGCCAAAGACCTCTTTCTAGGGTCTCCTCTTCGCTGAGGGGAAAAGGCCAATGCAAAATCAAGAAGAACAGATTTCAGAGAATTTCGAGAAAATGTACATTTACAGAATCAGCCAGGACACGCAGTGGAGTCCTGACAAGGAAAACACATAGTCTGACATGACCGCCCGCGCTGCCCAATGCTAAGATGCGGATGTTCTCCACATGAGCCAGGAGCCCCATTCGTGGCGTCCTTGCTACTAGTAGCGATGCCAGGAGCCCCTAGTAGCTTCTTGTTTCAATAGGAATTAACTTCTAATTAAACTTACAGTAATTCTATTTTAATTGTTTCTCATAGCGAACATTGCTCCTAGTAGTACGGCCAGGAGCCCCGTTCGTAGCGTCCTTGCCCCTATGTAAGTAGTAGCGATGCCCTTTGCTGGGTGCATGGTGGCTGTGAGAACGCTCGAAAATGCCTCAAGCATGGCTCATGAGGCGCTGCGCACCTGAAGTGACAGAGCACGCGGTGCATCGCGGCGCACCGACCCCAAATGGCATCGATTGAAAAAGGCATCAAACACCCCACAACCAAAGGTCAGAAATGTCATTGTCAAGTGCAATGAAAAAAATCAGTATATTATATAACGGATGGACAATCAATGTTTACGCAAATCCGATTCTGAGTTGTGAACTGGGAGCGGGAAGGTTGTTGACAACGAATCCTGGCTACAAAAGTCTGGCAGAATCTCGTCTTCCACGGCGTTTCCTTTCCGTTCGTGAAATCATGAGACCGAATCCACCGCAGCTGGCTGCAGGGCTCCGGCACCTGCCTGGCTTGTAAGTTCCTGTGGGCTGGTTCCGGTCCTTATTCCAAGTCTTGTTGAGCTGACTCCCCTTGTGGAGAGGATGGCACAATGCAAACGCTGCTCAGCGTCCCGCTCCGAAGATGGGACACGCACCAGAAACATGTCGGGGGCCACCTGTATTACTACCCTCCCGTCCAGCAAAAGGTTGGTGTTCTGAAACACGTTCACCGCTGTTGCTTTGGAGGTTGAAACATTCGAACACTGCAAGAAAAACTCCAATGCTTGCTTACTGCTCAAAGTCAGCTTTCGTCTCAGTTGCTTGACAAAGTCGGCAACGCTTGTGGTTTGACACGGTTGGAGCATTCCAGCACGTCACGTTATGTCGCCACTTGCGCCAACAATTTGGCACAAGCTGGGGCTGATCCTTCTCCGTTTCATCACAAAGCCTGCAAGCACTTCGCATTGCCAAGCTGAGGAGCCATATCCCAAGCACTTTCGAAGCCATCCTGAGCAAGTCCCTGGATGCTGGGCCATGCAGGGCCCCCAAATCAACGGATTCCACATCATTCCATTGTCATTCCATTGAGGTAAGTCACTGCACTGGTTGCGCTAGCCAACGACTCCTGCAGGATCTAGCAGGTGAAGAGTTGCCACTATTCCAGTTGGTTTCATGTGCAGGTCCGTCCAGCGCAACAGGAATTCTAGATTCGATTTGCTCAGTTCAGAGGAATATATGATGAAAGCTAATCCAATCTCCTTGCTTCCTCTCTCCAGGTTGCTGGAACCTAAGGTGTGAAGAAAGCTGGACGACGAACAATAATATGATTTTCCTCAAGCTGTGCAGCTGGGTCGTCGCTTCGGCAATGATCTGGCAGCCTCCGTCGAGACACTGATCGGCTGCGAGTACCTTAGACTGGATTTCCGTTTCGAAGCATTGAAAGGAGGTGATCCGGTCTTCCTGCAGTGAAAATGTTTTGACCGTCTTCTCCTGTCTTCTCTGCCTGGCCTGTAGCACGTCTGCCTTACTGCACTGCATAATATAACATAACATGGGGCAATATCAAGCCAAGGGACAGCCAATTTGCATTTGCAGGCTGCACCGGTGGTGTTTGAAATCTTCGGGGCCCAGTTTGAGGTGCTGGAAAGTGCTGGGCCACCTATGGCAGTCACAATGCAAGAGTGCACGTTCACAGCACCGCTACCTCTCTTGACTCTTCCGTTTCTCACCACGCGCAGGTGCTGAGCATCGGGCTGGTGCCACTGGAACTTGTGCGCGAGGCGACGGTGAGGGAGTTGAGCTCGTTCTGAGATCCACCCGTTGAGCTTGTCGCCCCCGTGGGCTTGGACTTGGTGTGTAGGCCCCTGGCATTCGATAGGCCTTCAGGCAGACGAACCAATGCCAAAGCTTGACAGGAAGTCCAAACGAAAAGTGAACAAAGGAATATCAAGAATATCTAATGAATTCAAAATGAAAATATCAAGAAGAAAAACTTCCAAGGTGCAGAAGGGTTGATTGGAAGCTGAGCGATAGCTTGGCAACCTCGGGCATCTTCCACACCAAAACTGCATCCAAACGGGAAACTGTATGTCGCGAGTATGGAGTCATAATGAGTCATATGCGAAACTAGAACGGTCCAATCTGCGGCTCTTAGAGATGAGCCAATCAAGGACCCGGTCCTGCTGGAACAATATGATTTACTTGGCATTCACCCTGGACGTGGTCCAATGCCGCACACCAACCCCCAGCTCTGTCAAGCAACTTTGGCTCAATTGCGGCACAGCCTCCCAAGACCTGCACGTCCAAATCTCCGCAGGTGGCACCAATTCAATGCAAATACCATTTCTTGTGGCCATACATGTGCATCTGCAGCGTACACATTGAATCAAATTAGGCAGACTTTGAGCAAGGCTGCCTCCTCGACGAAGCTGTTGGCATGGAGGGCGTCATTGCTCCAGATCTGCTTGCTCCAAGTGCAATCCTGACACAAATCGGGCAGTGCATTCCCTGGAAGCAAGTGGCATCCGTGAATGAAACATAGTGACGTGTTGCTGCAATGTTTGTAATTAAGGGACTGTATTGTAATTAAGAGACACCGTCACCTGACCTGTATGACGATGGACTTGGTGTCATAGCTGGGCCTCGCAACATGACTCCATCACAAGCTCTGTAGCATTTGGGGGCTCAAGTTTCCCTAAAAATCTAGGAACCAAATCATTAGTGCGAGCGCTATCCTGCGTCCATATGTAGGAGCGAACTTCTCCTAGCAGCAAACTACTACTCCCTTACTTAACTAAGTAGGCGCCTATTTGATTAAGTAGGAGCGGGCTTGAAAACAACAAAGAAAAATCCTCGTAGACTGCTCCACCTGTGAAAGCTTTGAGGTTCAGACTTGCGCTTCTAGCAACTGGTTCTGCTGTATATCCTGCCCAGCCAAACTGCTCAGTTTTCCAGCGCTAAAAGGAGCGGATGTGCAAGTGAGTGGTGTTTTCTTGGGTGCATGGAAAGTATCCACTGGGGAGCATGTATACCCGAGTGTACACGCGGAAAATAACTCAAGTGAAAGACGCATGAGAACAAAGGGAAAGCCGCCCCAGTGATGCTAGTAGTAATGCGCTTTGCTACTAGTAGCGTCTTTGCTGCTAGTAGCAATGCCCTTTGTTACTAGTAGTCCCGCCAGCATGGTCCCGTCATCCCATCCTACAAGGTGCTGCTTCACAGCCAAACCAGGGGAGCTAAACGGCAGCGCTGCGATGCCGCTTTGGAACTTGGCTTTCTTCACGGCCTGACAGAAAAGACTGCAAACATGTTATGTATGCTAACTACGTACCACCCGCAATACAGCCCCCTTATCTTATCACTCTCTACTGTGCCTTTGCTGCATCCATGGCAGCCCGCGTCGCAAAGGCCAAGGCATCTGCACTTGCCAGCAGGCCTCGAAGCAAGTGTCACTGAGTGTGTGGCCTCCTGATCAAAGTAGGGAATTTGGTTTTGTCTCACACAGATTCACCAAGAACTTTCTGAGTTTGCAGCTCTGGGTACTGCCCTCTCTGGGCGGTCCGGCGCTCTTGTCTTGGGCCTCCAGAACATCTCCATGCTTTAGTTTTTGTGTCTGAATGTTTCCATGCGGCGCATATCAACCAAATACAGCAATTTGGCAATTAGGCAGTTTATGAGGTTTCGGAGCCCTGCCCAAACAGTCTCATTCTCTGGTTGTTGCACCGCAGGCAAGCACAAAGTAAATCTTCCCGTCCTCAAGACTCCCCTGCATCCCTTGCTGCTGCATCCGGTCAATCAAGTCTGCGCGGAGCTGACCCAGCAGGTGGTTGGCTTCCTGCATGGGCCACACTAGCACTTTGGCCACTGCAAGCACTGCATACCGCAGTCTGCAATGTACAATGCACAACTTCCGACTCCGCGTCTTTAACCCTATGCCCCGTACTCCTCGAGCTGATGTTCCAGTGAGGCTTTTTGTTGCTCCAACGCCGCCTTTTGCTGGTTGGACCTTTAGCCAGGTGTTGCTGCGATACATGTTCAGCACCGGTCAGCTCCCCAGTGGAGTGGATGGTCACGATTTTGAGTCGACGGACAAAAATCATTGCCCATCAACACAAAAACCCTGCTAGAATTTGGGTCAGAGGAAATGCTCCCCAGGGTCTTTAGTGGCCATCACTATATTACATAGGTGCATCTGAAGGGATCTCCAAGACCGCCGGTTGAAGCCCAGAAAAAAAAATAGAACATTGCATTGCATTGCAGTACATTATATACATACTACACACAGGCACATTTTTGGGCATGCCCACAACAGGCTATCCTTGCCGCATCGGCA